TGCTTATCGCGCTGCCACAAGACACTTTCATGAATAAAAGGTTAGTTTGGGTAATTATTGGGGATCATGATCTGATAATGATTAGACTTACATGGCTTCCTCACATTGGACAATACTCGACAGTTGCATGTAAGTCGAGTTCCACCGAGTCGGGACGTCACACTCAATGGTGTGGGGTTTCTTGCATTGAGCTTCTTCACAAATCTTGATGAATTTTGCCTTGGAGTTCGGGGACTTGCGAAGTTTCATGGCAATTTGACAGAACTGCCAACAGTGGATAGAATCATTCCAGTGAGAGGTGATTAGAGAATTTGATAAAAGATGAACAGACTAACCTTTGTGAGGGTTTGGCAACACGAGTCAGAGGTATAACTATCTTTCGAGTCTTCTCGTTCAAGATCCTCAAGATTGTCTAGAGTAGGGTTGTCGGCGCCACCCCCTGGTGCGCGCCAAAAGTGCGTGCCCCGGGGGCGCGCACTTTTTTCCAAAAAGGTGGGGTGGCGCGCACCTCTAACCCTAACCTTTGCAGGGAGGGCCTGGAGGGTCCGGTGGTATCCCCTGCACAATGATGGGCCTTGAGAGAGCCAGGCATTGGTCTGGAGGACTGACAGGCTGTCAGAAGCTGTCAGATACATCATTTCCAATTTCAAAATATGTATGTAGCATCCAAATTCTGGATTCTGGATGGTCAAAATTGCAGACACCCAAAACAAACTGGTTGCTGGTACCAACTGGGACCCCACTGAACTTTGATTTTCTTAATAATTTTTATCATTCTTCCTTTTTTTTAGCCTGCACAAATAAATTAATTTTTTTTTCCGTTTGTTTTCTTACTATTTTTCAGTTATAATGTTACCAATTAGAAAAAAAAAATGGCGCCTGGGCGCGCCGCCCCTGCCGCCAGCCAAAGGCGCGCCCCTTTGGAAGGCTTTGTAGGCGCCCATGGGCGCGCACTTTTTCAAACATGGCGCCGACAACCCTAGTCTAGAGTGAGATCATCGTCGAATGCTAGTTCTGGATCCTCTTTGTGGTTATCTTCATCATTGTCCAAGTCACAGATCTGTTCCTCTTGATTGAATCTAAAAATTTCCAAGTGTTATTTAGCTTCTAGTGTCAAAATTAAATGCTTGATTGAAACAGCTTACCTCACAATGCGTTGATGCTTGTCCTCTTCTTCATCTGAGTCATCAAACTCAGGCGTGCCAGCTTGGGATTTCTTACGAGTGAACGGTCAAAGTATAGCCTTGACGATAAGATTGACAATATGCGCAAGGCATCGGATCCACTGCGCCTCACCCTTGAATCGTTTCCAATCTAGTCGTTCCAACTCCAAAATCATAGTCTCATTGCTGCTTGCATTGTCGGAAACAATACCACAGATCTATTCAGAGTTGAAACAGGGTCAGATCACAGACAATCAAGGGTGAACAAAATTGGTACACAAGGGGGGTGGAGACCAAGAAAATCTTACTTACCCTATTTTCTAATCCAAATTTCTCAACAACACCTCTTACCATTTCAGCCAGGTATTCGCCTGTGTGCCTTTCCTTGAGCTGCACAAAGTCCAGGGGCATTGCATCGAATTTCGTATTTCCGGTGCCATTGTCCAGAAGTTGATAGACCACCGTGCCCATAATATCGTATCTATTTGGAGATTGCCACGCATCAACACCCAAGTAAAGCGCCCCCTCATGCATCTGAATAGCACAAAAAATAAGTATGAACTGCGGTCAGTAATCAGTGATGTTGGATGGAAAGAAAATATTAGCCAACCAAATCTCAATTACTCACCTTTAACTCCTCACATAGCTTCTCCTGAACACATAAGTAGAGGGTATGAACACCTTTGGAAATCGTCTTTCAACTCGGAAGGTGCTTCAAGATTGTCGGATGAAGGATTCTCTTCAGGCTGGGTTCTTCGAAGGCTGAGAATGGCTTTGCGGCCTCGGCACACCAGATGACACATCGTTGCAAAACCTGAGGAAACATTTCAGGTAACAATTAATATATATCCAAAATGGAAAAGCACTAACCTCCCGTGGATCAATATCACCTGTCCCCAATATGCCAAGCGATGCAAGTGTCTTATGATCCGAGGGATTGTTTGCCTTCTTTGAGCATCGAGCAACGTGTGTGAGAAGATTCCCACATGAAGACTCGTGCGCAGGTCGATTAATTTTTTTCGAACAGCTAGTTACAGTGTAAATTCATTTAGATAATAATGATCAATGAAAGATGTTGATGGAGATGGTTTTCTCACTTTTTACATTTCCAAGCTATCATGTACCAATCAAACTTGTCCTTCTGATCAGACATTGTTGGTGCCTCATAGGATGCATAAACAGATCTAACTTGATTATGAGCCAGCTTCATTGCATGTTCTACATAAACAATTTCATTAATCAAAAAAACAAAACCAACAACAAAAAAATGACAAAAATTGGCCCAGTAGATTACCCAGACGCTGTTCATCCGTTGAATCAGGTCCTACAGGGTTAGC